ATGTATATATATGTGTATGTATATATGTGTGTGTATATATATACACATATACTGTATATACACACATATATATGTATATATATATATATATATATATATGTCTTTCAGGTGGTTGTATGCAAAAGGAGGAGTATATACATACATATACATACATATACACACACACATAGTGTATAAATGTATATACGCAAGTCTTTGGGGTGGTTGTGTGCAAAAGGAGAGTTCAAAAGGTGGCAATTGTGCAAGAACAAAAAAGGACCATATATACACGTATAAAGTCTTTTTTTTTCTTGCATAATCAACACCTTTTAAACTCTCTTTTTGCACACTACCACAACGGTACCGATTTTGACTGCTGTATGTGTCATTTCCCCCCTTTACACTCTTCTACTCATCCCATGTCTAACTTGTTGGAACGACAATAAAGAATACTTGATTTACTTGATTAATTACTTGTGACCAGTTGTTCTAATTGACTAATTCTAATTAGAATTAATTAGTCTACTTCTAATTCTAAATTAATTGTAACCCTACCTAAATTTCCATGGAAACTGGCAGCATTGGGATTGATTCGAAGAGCGTGAAGAAAGAATCCCTCAGACTCCTGAAAAAAAAGAAAAAGTAAAAGAAAAAAAAGAAAAAGTAAAGATTGAGATGCATTATTATTATTATTATTATTTAGTGTTTAGTTTAATGTAAATTTTATTCCCCAACTTACCTTGTATTTTTGTAATTTGCCCAAAACATTGGCTAATGAAAACATGAGGGTGGGATCATTGGGGATAATCTTCAGAGCTTCACGCCCGACCAATTCTGCTTGACCCAAGTTACCTGTGAAACAGAACAGATTTCGTTTTTAGTGGTCATTTTTCACGGCCTTAGAGTTTCTCAAATTAGGTTAACTGGCCTTAACTCTAAATCAGAAAGAGAATATAGCTCCTTGCTTCCAGTAATACCTTGAGATATGAGTCCTAACAAAGGAGTATTCTGAGATACAAGCACAAAATATTCACTTGGCAGCAT